TATAATCCCAGCACTTTGGGAGACCGAGATGAGAGGATTGCCTGAGCCCACGGGTTCAAGACCAGCCTGGGCAACTTGGCGAGACCTCATTTCTAAAATAAATAAAAAAAATTAGCCGAGTGTGGTGGCACACACCTGTAGTTTCAGCTACTTGGAAGGCTGAGGTGGAAGGATTGCCTGAGCCCAGCAGGTCGAGGCTGCAGTTGCTGGGAGCGTGCTACTGCACTCCATCCTGGGTAATGGAGTGAGACTCCAACTTAAAAAAAAAAAAAAGGCATAATGATAAATTTTATATTATATGAATTTTACCACACAAATAAAGAAATATTGGCTTATGAAATGTGCAGAATGCTAGTGACTATACATAGTTATGAAATAATACCTACCACATCCAGGGTCTTACTCGAGGCCAGCTACTGGACACCATCCCTGAGGTATCTCTTCCATCTCCACTTGTCTAGATAAGAACACAGAGCTGGTCATGGTGGCTGAAGCCTGTAATCCCAGCACTTTGGGAGGCTGAGGTGAGAGGACTGCCTGAACCCAGAGGGTTCGAGACCAGCCTGGGCAACTTGGCGAGACCTCATCTCCACAATAAATCAAAAATTCGCTGGGCATGGTAGCTTGCGCCTGTAGTTCTGGCTATTTGGAAGGCTGAGGTGGAAGGACTCAAAAAAAAAAAAAAAGGAACGCTGAGATTCAGAAGTCCCCTAGCCCCAGTTATTCCAGTAGGAAGAGGCTGGCATGACTCATACTGTCTGGCCCCCAGAACCCACATCTTGAGCCAATGCTCATACATATGCCCAAATTTTGTGTGTGCATTCTTTTTTTCCTTTGAGTCAGAGTCTCACTCTGTCACCCGGGCTGGAGAGCAGTGGCATGCACGCTCCCAACCACCGCAGCCTCAACCTGCTGGGCTCAGGTGATCTTTCCACCTCAGTCTTCTAAGTAGCTGGAACCGCAGGTGTGCACCACCTTATTCAGCTAATTTTTTTTATTGTAGAGACGAGGTCTCACCAAGTTGCCCAGGCTGGTCTCAAACCTGTGGGGTCAGGCAATCCTTTTACCTGGGCCTCCCAAAGTGCTGGGATTATAGGCATGAGCCACGAGCTTGACCAGGCTGCAAAGATATCTTATAGACATGATTATCAAATACAATCTGTCAATTTGAAATAAAAT